GTTCTTGCCCGTCTGCTCTTGCAGACCCTGGTGCCCGAGCTGGGCAGGATGGGTGATTATGGTGCTGCCCCAGGGTGCACCGTCAGGAGATCTGGGGGCCATGTGGCTGTCCCTGGTGGAGTCTGAGCCTTCGGTTCAAACCTCAGCCAGCATTTCGCTTGGAGCATGGGCCATGCGGACTTCTCTTTATCTATGAATCCGCCAAGCAGGCTTGGGAAGAGGCATTGCGTTCCCTTGGCTTTGAGAGGGGAGCCCGTCTGTCCCATGGCCTCCACCAGGTGGCGCAGCATTCACATCCCTCTGCTTTTCTCTGTCCCACTCTGTTCTGCAGGCATTGAACCCGGCCACATACCCGGCACTGTGAACATGCCCTTCACCGACTTCCTGACCACGGAGGGACTGGAGAAGAGTCCAGAGGAGATCGGCCGCATGTTCCAGGAGAAGAAGGTGGACCTGTCTCGGCCACTGGTGGCCACGTGTGGCTCGGGGGTCACTGCCTGCCACGTGGCATTGGGGGCATACCTGTGTGGCAAGCCAGACGTGGCTGTCTACGACGGCTCCTGGGTGGAGTGGTACATGCGGGCCCAGCCCGAGGAGGTACTCTCCGAGGGCCGGGGGAAGACGCTGTGAGGCTGGGCAGGGACGCAGCCAGCTTGGGGACATCCGGCCACCAGCCCCGCCACTGGGACTCACAGCGTGCTTTTTCACCCACCTCGGGTGGTTCGAGGGGTGACAGCCCAAGCCCCAGGAGTTCCGTTAGTGGGTGACCTCTCAGAGAGAAGGCGGGGTGGCCAAGCGCCCCCACCAGTCATGGTGCTGAGCTGGGGCCCACCCACCTGCCTCCTGTATTACCTGCTCAGGAAATAAAGCAGCCCAGGGCTGAACCCTGGTGCCTGGGGCCCTGCCTTCATTTCTCCAAGTCGTGGTGGTTCCAGCATGCCCTGTGAATGAGATGCCTTAGGAATCTGCTCCTACCTTCTTCTGGGCAGCCCAAAGCCCTCTCATTCCCATGGTGGGCCATGTCACCACCCCTGGGAAACCATCTTCTACCCCCTTAGCCTGGGGTCTCCCTTCTGGCTTCTGGGCTATTGGGGTGGATGTTACTGGTCCATGCCTGGGACCACACCCATGGCCCCTCACAATGAAACTGTGCATCCTAATTTTAAGAAAAGGGTGGGCCCTGAGCTGACCTGGAGGTTTGGCCCCGTCCAGCTAGAATGTTATAGATAAGGGATGGGTGTGGCCAGATTAGAAGAGCACCCACCTCTGAACTCCCATGGTTCAATCTGGTAAAGTGAGCTTGGGGGAGGGGCTCTGGGGTTTGATCCTTACTGCTGGACCCCTCACCCCACCCCAAGACTTCCTGAGGACAGGGCTTCCCACTGTCTGGATTTCTCCTTCAGGCAGGAGTGGACAGAGGGGTCTGAGAAGAGCTGTCTGCCCCTGCTGGACCGGGGTCACCCTCCCCATCTCCCTGCCTCAGGATCACCGTCTTGGTAGCAAAGGGGCAGTGTCCGTAGTGCTGCAGGGAGGAGGAGAGGACTCAGGGACCCTGGCCCCTCTTTGGAAACAAGCTGGAGCAGGGCAGTGACTTCCCCAAGGCCACGTGGTGAATTGGAGCCCCAGCCGGGACCAGCCTCAGACTTCTTGACTCTGAACTTTCTCTCCTTTGTCTCCACTCTTCTCCTGGGGACGAGGCATTTTCCAAGCCCACAAAGCTTGGTCTCACGTGGAAGGAGCTCCACGGTAAGTCCTGACTCCAAGCCTCAGCTCCTCATCCATGAAATGAGCATCACACCGTGCTTCAGGAGGGAATTCCGACAAGGACTCGCCAAGAGGCCTCTGCGAGACCTCAGGGTGTCTCAGCCCTGACACTGTTGGGGTGGAGGCGGACAGGGTGGGGGTGGGGCTATCTTGTCCTTCGTAGGATGCACAGCAGCAAGTCTGGCCCGGGCACCCTAGATTTTAGTAGCACCCTCTTGAGATGACACCCAACACGACGAGAAGCCCAAACCTGTTACAGCCAAGTCTAACCCATGTGGTCCAGAGCGGAGCTGAGATCTGCAGCCTGTTCTCAGCAGAGGCTTTATAGGGGCAAGTCACCAGGCCTTTCTTCCTCGCCGCTTCGAGGCGGGTTTCAACAGCCCGCCTTTCTGCCAGTTTGTGTTCGTAGGGGAGAGCCCAGGTGACACCAGGGGCCTTCAAAGACCTCGGCATGGCCAGCTGTGCCCTGGGTGGGTGGGTCACCCCCAGTTGGGACCCGCTGCTCTGTTAGCCAGTGATGCCCAATTTCCCACAGCAGTCAGGAGCAGCCGGAAGAGGAAACCCAGCATAGCATAGTGTAGGGGTCCCCGTCTCTGCATGTGGATATTTAAAAGCCCCCGTTAAAGTGAGCTTTCTATTCATGTAGCGTGACAGCCTCGGATGCCCACAGGAGCCGCTGGGCCCTGTCCTGTGCCCTGGCATGGACTCGACGGCAGCAATTGTGGTTTCCTTTCCCATGCGTCTCCCACACTTTGTTTGCCCCCCTGAAATGAGAAAGGCTGTCTGCAGCATGCACAGGCTGGCCCCAGTGGCTCCATCACACCCTCTCCCTGCCACCCGCTCCCCCAGGCTGCCCAGCACACTGCGGCCTCTCTGATCCTCCATCAGTGTCCCCATCTTAAAATGGGGAACACTCCCTTCCCTGGGAGCTATGAGATTGAGTGAGACCAGCCCATCCACTCTGCATAGCCTGGTGCCGAGCACAGAGCAAACACTGGTCTCCGTTCCTTTGTGAGGTGGTTACGTGGCCACTCCAGCCTCTCGGGCATCAGACTCGGCGGAGAGAGCAAGGAACAGGAGCGCTGTGCAGTTCCAACAACTGCAACCAAAGGTGGACTGTTCGGTGGTGCTGAGGGAGGAAGGCCTGGCAATCTGTTCCATCAAGATTCAACCCAAACTCCGCCGTGGAGCCAGTGCCCGCAGGACAGAACTGCCCCTGCGGTTTTTCAAGATGGTAACTCCTTAAGGAAGTAGAAAGCCCCGTCTTTCCTCAGAGGAGCGGCTGGTGACTTTCAACTGCGAACCTCTCGGATGGTAGCCCAATGCGTCCTTGACCACCATGCCAACAGGGCTCCTTACGAAGAAGGAAAGAGTGGGGGCAGGTGGGGGGATCTCTGGGGAGCAGTTCTGCTTTGTAACACATAGGGTCATCGTGAACCAGCATAACTGCTGAGGGTTGCTGCTTGTTTGTAAACAGCAAAGCTTTCCTGCCAGGGAGGGGGGAGAGGCTCTCATTTGACATTTCTGGAAAGGTAGGAGTTCATTAGGCAGCAGACTCGTTTTACAGATAGGAAAGCAAGTTCAGAGAGGGGCCATGATTTGGCCAAGGAGCCTGGTGGCGTGGCAGGTAACTGGTGGGCTGCTAATGGCCAGAGCTGTGTTCCAAACCCACCAGCGGCTCGGCAGCAGAGAGAGGAGGCTTTCTGCTCCCATGAAGAGTCTCAGCCTTGGAGACCGACGGGCAGTTCTCTGTCCGATAGGGGCACGATGGGGTGGTAGTGGGCTTTTTGGAGTTTGCACAGCTTATTGGGGTGAGAATCCAGTTCCCACTGTGCTCAGCCCCAGAGCCCCTCCCGTGGGTTGTCTGTACGGGGTCTCAGGCTCTCCAGGTCAAGGGGAGAATGAAACATATCCCAGGGTTTGAAACACATGCAGCAAGCTCAGGGAAGAGGGCCAAGCACCCCCCAGCTCTTCTTGGTAACACCTTGAGTCATGGGATTAAGTTGGAGTCAAGGGCTTGGGTTAGGCCTCCCTTGTCCCATCCCAGTCTGGCAGGGGATCACAGCCTGGTCCAGAGCAGTTGCCAATGTGTCTCCCTGCTCAGGGTCATCTGTGTGTGAGAGGGCAGATCTAGGCTCCTTCAGGGAGCCTAGATTTCTCAGAAGTGGCTCGTTAGGCCTTGCTTCTGCAGGGCCTCTGGGCGGACTCAAACCTACAAGCTTTGGCCGAGCCACCACTGCCCTGTGCAAGGACTCCCGGCCGGGATTTATTCCTCCTGGGAAGGCCCTCCATGGGTCTGGACAAGTCCTGGGGTGCCTGCCCAGAGGAAAGAGACACTTAGCTAATCCTACCTAGGGTCTACAGGCCAAGTGGCAGCTTAAGCTTTCTGAAACTTGCCACCGGGAGGGGCCTAGGGCCCTCTAAATGCCCAGGGCTCCGGCCAGCACCCGCCCCACCCAACCACCTGACCCAGGCTTGCAACACTGCATGACCAGGGTGAGCAAACATTGCTTCATTAGGCAAATATTTGCCGAACACTTCCCGTTTGGCCAGGACAGTGGGAGTGCGTGCTCCAGCAGGTCAGCCAGCTCCCCGGGAATGTTCCTCCTCCCGGGACCTGGCTGCTGGCCTGGAGTGGATCTAATAGGGCGGTATGCAGCCTGCCGCTGCAGAATCAACCCTGCAAGCTCTGCCTTCCAGGCCCTGTGGAGCCTGCGCAGTCTTCTCATCTGGAGAGTGGGGCCAGACCCCAGGCTGCCTTGCTGAGGGCAGGGCGGCCACGATACCCAATGAGCCGTCGCTCAGAATGACCAACGACAAGCATCACTCCTGAGGGTAGCTCCAGCGCTCTCCGCACAGGGACACTTTGGAATCCTTAGCTCCTGAGGTGTGAGTCTTTGGACACATCTTCCAAGGTGCTGGGGACAGGGCGGGGTTCTGTTGCCAGCTGTATGCAAATCTTCTGCCTGAAAGGAGTGTCTCCTGGTGCCCGGAGCACACTGGACTCTCCGTGGCTTGAGTCAACACTGTGCTGCACAGCGAAGCCCTCTGGGGCTTCTTGCCTACAGACTCCCTGGCTCGGGCTGAGCGCCTCTCCAGGGTCATGTCCTCCCAGCTCAGCACCCTTCTTGCTTGACCCTTAAGGACTAGGCTCTCTCCAGAGTCCTCCACCTGGTCCAGATGGGCTCCCTTGAGATGCTGTCCCCATCTGTGTCAGTCCGGGTGGGCTAGAGAAACAAATTCATAGACACTGAAGTGTGTATAAGGAAGAGCTTTATATACAAGAGCAATTGAATATTGGGAAAACATCCTAGCCCAGTCCAGATGAAGTCCACAATTCCAACATTAGCTCATATGTCCGATACTGGTCCATTTTGACTCACGCTGCACAGCATATGCAGTGGTGCTGAATGCAGGAAGATCACAGGCCAGTGGGTAGAAGGTCTTGTGATAGCAGAAGCATCTCAATGCTGGTTTGAGTCTCCATGTGTCTCCTCCAGCTCTCTGAGTGTCTCAGCAGCAGGAAAGGGAAGGCAGAGAGAGAGAGAGAGAGAGATGAATCCAGTGAGCTATTTATTTCTGTCACGCCTCCGAATGAAGTCATCAAGCTAGACTGATTGACAAGCTAGACTCCACCCCTTTGCTCAAGTTGACAGGAGATGATGTAACTCCTCACCATCACTGTGTGGAGGCCAGTCACTCCCCAGTCTGCATGCTCATACTCCTGTCCTCTGGGTCCACTCCCAGCTGGTCCCCCGAGTGACCACCCAGCCCCCTGCTGAGGTTCTTGGCCGCTCAGCTCTTGGCTTGCTGCCCTCATGCCGACAGTCCTGGGTTCCTGCTGCCCTCAGCTCCACAGCCAGCACCAAGCACATGTCCCCACGGCCTTGTCCAGGCCCCACGCCTAAGACACCAGACACCACCCTGCTTCCCCCATTAATTCCAGCCCGCAGGGCTCTGGGGCACTGAGGGGGTAGGCACATGTACTGGGCACACACATGACACATGTGTCTTCGAGGTGGAAGCCCCAGGCAGGTAGAGGGTGAAAGGGGTGTTCCCATAGAGAGGCATCTTGGGGCAAGGATCCAAGGCAGCCCCTGTGAGTTTCAGGTCCCCTCTGCCCACTCCAGGACTGCATGTT